GCCATCAAAATTTAGGTCAATTTTAAGGGCAGTTTTGACTTTAACGAAAAAAATTGACGAACAATTCCCTCTGTTCTCAAAATTTAGGTCAATTTTAAGGGCAGTTTTCATCTACACCGCAAAAATTGTAGAAAAACTTTCTCCGACCTGACCTTTCCTCAAAATTTAGGTCAAATTTGACATATTTTTTAACCTACACATGAAAAAAGCAAATTAATTAGGATTCTTTAAGAGGTCGTTCCCTTATATTAAAATTTGACGGAATTTTTGACCTATTAGTTAAAAGAAGTTTGACCTAAATTTCAATATTAAGTTTTAATCAATAAAAGATGTTATAAATTGACATCTATTTTTAAAAATTCTATTAAAATTAATTTTCTGTCCTCAAAATGTACTTTAATTTTAATGGCAGTTTTTTCCTACAAGTAAAAATTTGACCATAAATCTCCCTCAGATCTGATATTCTCTCAAAATTTAGGTCAATTTTAAGGGCAGTTTTGACCTACACGTCAAAAATTGACAAGAAAATTCCCTCTGACCTGCTGTTCCCTTAAAATTTAGGTCCATTGTAAGGTCAGTTTTGACCTACGGGTAAAAATGAGGCCCACAAACGTCTATAATTTTACGTCGAAATCTTTAGGTATATATATATATGGATGATTCTACAAACGAAGGACGAAAATCAAGAAAATTTGGACACAACATTTTTTTCTCATTTAAGGTCTGAAAAGTATTTTAACTTCAAGTTAATGGTACTAATAAAGACATCCATAAGTGGCCAGACAAAATATTAAATTTTACAAAAGTTATGGTTATTTATAAACAATTTATCCAGAGAATTACAATCGTGTCAAGAAAATTCACATTAACATAAAAATTAATGAATGGATTTTTATAAAATTGGTTACTCGGGGGTTTACGGGGTTGCTGATTAAGAATCCAATGTCAGTTTTTCAAAATTCAAAATGGCGGATCCAATATGGCGGACGACTTTTGAAAAAACTGATCGTATTCGTCTAAAAATCGTTACCCGGGGGTTTTTGAGGTCGCTGATTAAGAATCTAATTAAATGAATTTTAAAAAAATTGTTCGATTTTTATTAAATTTGATTTTGTAAAATATATTTAAACGTTAAATAAATTATTAACCTAGAGGAAAAGTTAGAACTAACAATTTACAACTTACCACCATTTTCGCAACTTTTGAATCAGATAGTTCAAGATTATTTAAAATACGGAATACTTGATGCATACGGAAATTTCCGAGGACTGAAAAGAAATCGAGTACCCAAAAAAATCGAATACTAAATACTTTGAGTACACCTCTAGTTTTTAACGTTGAGTTTAATTTTGAATTTACTTTTTAATAATTTATTAATTTATTTTTATTTAATTTATTTAAGTAATTAATAATTAATAATAATAATAATAAATTGTAATTAATTAATTAATTATGATTATTAAAAATTATTTAAAATTTATTTATTTATTTTTATACATGTATGAACTATAAATATAGTAGTAGAACTAAAAAACATAATTAGATTGTTTAAACAAATTGTAAAAACAATGGTTAATTTGAAAAAAGTTGACCTCGGATTGGTAATAAGCGAAACAGAAAATCACGGAGTAACGATTTTCAGACGAATATGTTAAGTTTCTCCAAAATCGTCGGCCATATTGGATCCGCCATTTTGAATTGAAAAATTTTAAAAACTGACATTAGGTTCTTAGGGGCCGTACACATAATACGTCACGCGATTTTTGACCATTTTTAATCACTCCCTCCCCCTATGTCACACTTCGTCACAAATCTTGAACCCCCCCCTCCCCCTACGTCACGTCACACACGTAAATTTCACTGTAAATTTTATACATTGGACATTATATATTATATCCTACACTCTAAATTATTGAATCAGTTAAAAATAACTGATTTAGAAGCAAAAAATCAGACACTAATTCAAATAGTAATATTTTTTTCTGACAATTAGTTAAAAATAACTGATGTTTTAATACAATTTTTTTTATTAATTCGAATTAGTCACGTTTAACTACCTACATAGCACCGAAACTGTTCTAACATACCGGAAGTTCTCAACGCACGCATTTAAACCGCTCGGCCACAGAAGGCTTAAACTGTTCTAACAATTTATTAAAGATTTACCCGCAAGCTTCGAAATATTTAAATGCAAAGTTTAGTGAAAATTGTGTAAAGATTTAAAAATCCCACTTCAATAAGTGTTTAGTGCGAAACTTTCCTGAAAATTTAACCTAAATTTTCAGGAAAATTTTCACGAAAGTATAATAGTCGAAAATGTAATTTAAATGTTCAGTAAATTTTCAAGCTATATTATTAAGAAAATTTGACGATAAACATTTATTGGGGTGAGAAATTTAAATCTTTACAAAATTTTAAAATAAACTTTGCAAGTAAATTTTTCGATGTATGCAAGCAAATCTTTAATATACATGTTTAGAAAAGTTTCAGTGTTTTGTGGATAATTTTTCAGTTATTTTCAACTGATTTAGAAGCAAAAAGTCAGTTACTGCTGATTGTCAGTTAAAACCATGATTTTTAACTGATTCAAATTAAGAGAATATATTATTTATCATATTATAAATAATATACCAATAGATGTTAAACAGGTACATGATAGATATTAAATAGTTTAAAGCATTTTTAACTTGTTTTATTTAGAAAAAGTGACATTGTCACATATAATTTCTTATAATCTTTGAATATAAAAGATTGTGACGTAACACATGAGTTCACCCCCCTCCCCCATGTCACACTTAGTCACAATTCTCAGACCCCCTCCCTCCCCCTAGCCGCGTGACGTATTATGTGTACAGCCCCTTAATCAGCAACCCCGAAAACCCCCAAGTAACGATTTTTACAAGGATATATAAAAGTCATCGGTTTAATTAATTTTGGTTGTAATTTAATTAATAATTGTTTATAACAAATTACGGATGGTGTATTATTTGTTTCTATAAGCACAATTTCACAAATCATAGAATTGTAAAAGTAAGTTCAAGTGTCTAATAATAAAGAACTACTTTGATTTTAGTGGGCTAAACTTTATTCATATAAAAAAATACTTATTCCATTTGTTTGTTTATGTCAATATAATTATTTATGCGAAATGAAAATTGAAAATTCAGTTATGGCAATTTCTTGCAAATTTAATTAGGATTATTTTAAGACCAGAAAATCGAACAATAGTTGAAAATTGTTAGTTTTACGCTATTTTTAGTGATATAGTATACATCCTATCTCAAAAGTGCCAGACGAATGAGAATTTGGCATTTTTTGTTTAAAAAAATAGAAAAATAACATTAAATGAAAAAATCCTTCAGTACTATCTTATAGAGAATAATAATCTACAAAACATAAGTCTATAGAATAACCAAAAAATAAAATATTTTTTTAAAAAATGTATGCCAGACGAATGAGAATTTGTCTGGTCACAACACAATCTCCGTCACAAATTGAGAAATCTTGGTTAATAGATTAGAAGATTCAATAAAACCCGATTGGTATCACATTTAGTTTAGTTTAATTAACAACTACAACAAACAGTCACTTCATCAGAATGTTGATTTTTAATAATTTTTACATTTTTTGCACTGCCAGACGAATGATAAAAAATTCAGGGGACAAACTTCGCGAAGATATTTTATAAATAAGATATAGAGAAACGTCATAATTATTTCCATATTAGTAATCTACAACTATTCAAAATTACTAATTCAGTATGAATTTTCCGCAAAACATTTAAAAAGTGATATTTATTCTCAATATGAACTGTCATTCTCCCAAAGGGACATGCCAGACGAATGAGAATTTAGCACTATAATGTGTATTTTTTGCAAAAAAATATTTTTTTTCATCTGTTTTTTTTCTGTGCCATAATAGAAACCATTAAGATTTACAATTTCCATTAAAAGTAAAATTATTCTTTCCAAAATTAATAAACAAAACATGCTTCAGACATCAAAATTCCCTCTTTTGTAGAATCACCCATATATATATATATGAATATACCTGTTGTAACAGAATATCGCATTAATACAAATTAACCGATCATTTATTTTTAGAAAAATAATCGATGAACATATTACACAGGCAAATATCTAGAAATTGTCTATTTATGTCTATTTATGCAGACGATATATACCAAAAACCGAATAACATTTTATAACTGAGTAACCGGTTATAATAATTTTACGGAATAGCAACATAACCGCGGGTATTCTAAAATAACCGATTTTTCCAAAATAAATATTATTCTAAAGTAACTGGTTATTTTGAAATTACCGGAAAATGGTTAACCGTTTGTTCAAAAATTTTATAACCCTTAATAATAGTTTTTGAAGTAAACAATTTTTACCCATACTTACTTGTACTAAAAGAAGAAATTACAATGGGATATGTATATAAATTTTTTTACCTCCGGTTGGTTGTGCTCAAAGGAATACCATTTTTTGATAACAAATTACGCATTTGATAGGCATTTTCACAGGACAATTCTCCAATTATATATATATAATTATAATTATAATTATATAATAATTATATTAATTATATATAATTATATATATATATATATATATATATATATATATATATATATATATATATATATATATATATATATATATATATATATATATATATATATATATATAATTATATATATGTTAGGCTCAAAAGCCGAAAACGGCCAATGGCCGAAAAAAACAGCCAAACCTAGTTTTGGCAAGTGCAGTTTTGCCAAAACTGGGTTTGGACGTTTCACTTCGGCCATTGGCCGTTTTAAATTGCCAAAACTAGTTTTGTCAATTTGACATTTAACAAAACTAGGTGAGGTTGCATATCATTTACTTGATATATTTTGTATATTTGGTGCTCCAAATATTCTCCAGTCCGACAACGGCCGCGAATTTCGGAACCAAATACTTACAAATCTCGCACAAAAGTGTCCCGGATTAAAAATGGTTCACGGGAAACCCCGCCACTCGCAAAGTCAGGGCTCAGTAGAAAGGAGTAATCAAGACGTGAGAGATATGCTTGTTACATGGATGGCTGACAACAACACTAAAAATTGGTCAGAAGGATTGCGCTTCGTTCAGAGCAAGAAAAATCGTGTTCTCCATATAGGCATTAAAACTAGTCCCTATGAAGCAATGTTTGGCTGTCCACAGAAAATTGGATTGAGTGATTCACCATTATTGGAAGAGGTTTACTCTTCCATTAAGACTGAAGAGGAACTGGAGCAACTTTTGAATACCAAAAACACTGAAGGTGTGGGTGACGAAAATGCAATAGCTGAGAATGCTTATATTGACGAGGAAGTTTCGTTACTTACTAATAAGTGTCATATTTGTGGACTTGAAATCGACGATACTTCTATCTCCGATAAAATGACTGACGAAGGCAAACTTATCTGCAATGTGTGCTGTAGAAAGAAAAAAATCATCAATACACGGGGAGCAGCAGCAAAAGGACTACAACAACAAGCAGAAAAAATGCTTGCAAAATCTAACGAAACATTAGCACCGGTTCCTGTTCCCAGGTGCGATTTTTTGGTCGGCCCATAGTTGGGCCAACTCGGTCCAACTTCTCGTGCCAGAGGTTGGGCCAACCATACAGATGATAACGGCGACCGTCTAATGGCGACGATGGTTGGCCCGACAACTCATAAGGAAGTTGGCCCAACTTACAATGCATATGTTGTGCCAACTATACATTTCAATGGTTGGTCCAAAGACTGACGCCAAAGTTGGCACAACTTTAGATGCGTAAGTTGGGCCAACCACAATTTTCAAAGTTTGGCCAACTTCAACAGCCAAAGGTAAAAAATTATTAAAAAACTACATTATTTAAACAATTAACACGTTATTATTAGCGGGAACATCAGATATAACCTTTACCTATTATTATTAAACACAATCTCATACATACATTTTCGAAAATATCTATCGCTCGCTGGGATCGAACCCCTAACCTAACGCACCGAAGACTTATACACTGACCACTACGCTACGCTCACATGGAAGTACATACCGTTAAATTTATATTAAAGCTGCAACAGTCGGGCCAACCGTGGCCTAGAGTTTGGCCAACCAAGAAAGTTTAAGTCATTTAAACCGCATTCGACAAAGTTTTGCCAACCGTTGGGCCAACCGTGGCCCAGAGTTCGGCCGACCAAGAAAAATCAAGTCAATTAAACTGCGTTTCACAAAGTTTTGCCCACCGTCGGGCCAACCGTGGCCCAAAGTTCGGCCGACCAAGAAAGTTTAAGTCAATGAAACTGCGTTTCTAGAGTTTTGACAACCGTTGGGCCAACCGTGGCCCAGAGTTCGGACAACCAAGAAAGTTTAAGTCAATTAAACTGTGTTTCACAAAGTTTTGCCCACCGTCGGGCCAACCGTGGCCCAAAGTTCGGCCAACCAAGAAAGTTTAAGTCAATTAAACTGTGTTTCACATAGTTTTGCCAACTGTTGGGCCAACCGTGGCCCAGAGTTCGGCCAACCAAGAAAGTTTAAGTCATTTAAACTGCGTTTCTAGAGTTTTGCCAACCGTTGGACCAACCGTTGCCCAGAGTTCGGCCAACCAAGAAAAATCAAGTCAATTAAACTGCGTTTCACAGAGTTTTGCCAACCGTTGGGCCAACCGTGGCCCAGAGTTCGGCCAACCAAGAAAGTTTAAGTCAATTAAACTGCGTTTCACATAGTTTTGCCAACCGTCGGGCCAACCGTGGCCCAGAGTTCGGCCAACCAAAATAATGTAAGTCAATTAAACTGTGTTTCACATAGTTTTGCCAACCGTTGGGCCAACCGTGGTCCAGAGTTCGGCCAACCGAAACTGAAAGTCTTTTAAACTACGTTTGGATAAGTTGTGCCAACCTTTGTCGCCAAAGTTGGCCCGACGGTTGGTTAAACTCTGCATTTAATGGTTGGCTTGCAAAGTCGGGCCAACTGTGGGCACAAGTACTTGCCAAAGTTGGGCAAACTCTGGCAACCAAAACTTTGCTTGCCAAAGTTAGGCCAACCTTGGGCCAACCTTCAAACTCTGGCGGCCAACCTAAATTCGCACCTGGGTTGGATCAAATGTCGTTGTAAAAGTTCCTGATGTGGATAGGGGAAGAGTTGCAGCTCGCAGCGTACTAGCAGTGGTTGAAGATATTACTTCTGATGGTCTTCATCGTTTGGGTACCAAAAATGGTACATTGGAACGACGCTATGTGCGAAACGAATTCACTCCTGCTGATTCCAACTTTATCACGGTGGAGGATGTTCCAGCAACGACATTGTCATTGAGAAAAGCTTCGGCACTTAATTCTGGGTCGACACAAGGTTTTATTTTTTGCAGTTGTTTAAGATATTGCATCCATAAAAGATGTAAGTGCCGTGCAAATAATGTGCAGTGCAACTCTAAATGTCACTCCAACACCGCGTGTAAAAATAAATAAGTGTTAAAAAAGTTTTTTTAATTAACTTTTATGTGCAAAATATTAATGGATTTTTGTTAGAGAAATTTCATTTTATTGTAAATAATATTAATCAATGACGCATTTTTAAATAAATATATTCCTATTGTATAACGAAGCGGTCTTTCTCACAATTTGAAATGCCTCACCTAGTTTTGTCAAATGTCAAATTGACAAAAACAGTTTTGGCAAAAGTCAAATTGACAAAACTAGTTTTGGCAAAAGTCAAATTGACAAAACTAGTTTTGGCAAAAGTCAAATTGACAAAACCAGTTTTGGCAAAAGTCAAATTTCCAAAACTAGTTTTGGCAATTAGAAACGTCCAATGGCCAAATTTAAATTGCCAAAACTAGTTTTGGCAATTTAAAACGGCCAATGGCCGAAGTGAAACGTCCAAACCCAGTTTTGGCAAAACTGCACTTGCCAAAACTAGGTTTGGCTGTTTTTTTCGGCCATTGGCCGTTTTCGGCTTTTGAGCCTAACATATATATATATATATATATATATATATACTCTCGACTCTCGGATCTTTTGCATTCAATTCTTTTACACGCTTGATCCTTTAGCAATTTTTCTCCGTCCCACACCTTTTACCTTTTACATTAAATGTTAAATTTTGCAAAAATGTTTTTTTAGGCAATAAATCCGCCGAAGTAAAAAAATCTGCAAACATTCCGCAGATTTTAACCAGACTCCTGTCTGCAGACAGTATCCTGAAAGTCTGCGGACATTCTGTCGTAATTCTGGTCGTTTAAAAGACTGCTTAACAAGTAATTCTGTTCATCACAAATTATGCCAAACAACAAATCTTTTAAATAATAATCTCTTAAATAGAATTTCATCGAACTGTGCATTCTGCTAAACACTGTATAGGGAAAGACATTTTTCTATTAATTAAAATTATTGGCAATAATAATTTTACTTAATAAAAAATTTTCAAAACTCTATTTTGAACACTTTATAATTCAGCTCAGTAGTTATTCCATTAACAAAAATTAGATTAACTGAAAATTAGGTTAAACACATATTTCATTAAATTAAAATATGTCTAAATATAAATTTGATAGCATAATAATTCTGTTATGAATTATTTTCGTTAAATGTAAATTCCATTACAGTATAATTTCATTACATATAAATTTTAATTAAATAAAGATGTTGCTTTACAAAAGTTAAAACAAGCAACACATTTTATACGTGACTATTCTTTTTAACAATAATTAATTTATATCAAATTTCTTTTCAGCAAAATTACTCATTTCATAAAGTTTCAACTATTTAACATTTTTCCAACTTCATGTTATATATTATTTTACTATTCTTTTAAGAGAAAATTCTCACATTCTGCAATTCGGTTAAATTAAAAATAACTCATTTCAGGATTAATTTCAATACTAGGGTAGGGTGGGGCATCACTATTCTTGTTTGGATTTTTGAGTCTAAAAAATGTATTTAAAAAAAATTAGTAGGACCGTTTGAAAACTTGACTTCTTAGCTACAATTTTGCCATGTATTATTTTGCTGTAACTCGATTCTGTTCCGAACTACAGCGATTTTACGAATTTTTTTTTTGATGTCGAAAAAACGAGGGGCGCAACTATTCTTGCAGCTATTAATGATATAATACTAAAAAAAATATAAAAATTAATTTGTTAATTGGAGGATTTTTTTTGGTTTTTCTGTTCCAATTTCTTACCATTCTAACCTAAAAACAAGCACACACAAAAAAATACACTGTTTCGTAGTTTTTGCTGTCATCAGTGGGCGAATCGTTTCGCCCCATCCGCACATTTTTTGAAAAAACACTTGTAAAATTTTTGAACAATAGAATATCAAAAATCCATTATGATATTCGTGTTCGTGTTCAGCACTAAACTTGACTTTAGAAATAATTTTTCCAACCGTTTATCACTATTTACAATGGCAGACTAAATGAGTAAAAAAGACTAAAAACACATTTGAGTACCTAACTCCTATGATAGGTGGCGCCAGAAGCTCAAATGTGGCGTATGATGTTCATTTCACATGACAAGTATACAGTCTAAAAAAAACTTTAATCGGATGAATAGTTTTCTCTCCAGGACAAAGAATAGTTTCGCCCCGCGAATAGTAATGCCCCACCCTATCCTACTTCTATTCAATAACAGTTTACTCAAATTGAAATTAAAATTATTGCACACTGAGAGACCTTTTGGACTGCAGCGGAACAACGTATGAGATAGCAGCTCCACTATGGTTTTAGTGCGCTGCGATACAATTTTGGGCGCGTGACAGTCCAAAATGTTGGTGAGAAGCTCACCGAAGTAGTGGGGATGCCGTCATTGGTTTGCAGCTAATCAACTTTTGGACTGTCACGCGCCAAAAATTGTACCGCAGCAACCCAAAAGTATAGTCTTGTAGCGTACCACCAAAATGGTCAGTAGCAGCCTATCGAAAGTCTGCTGCTGACCCAAAGGTCTCTCAGTGAAGTTATATTAAATAACGTTTATAGAATTTAAAATTCAATGCTGACAAAATTCTAACAATTTAAATGCAGATCATCTTAATGCGTCCCAAAAATACACTTAACATTTAGCCCCACCTATTATTTAACATTTAGCCCCAGAGTGTATTTTTGGCTTTAACAACAAATATACAAAATCTGATTAAAAATATTTAGCAAATACCTTTAGGTATACATCTTCATCTTACATAAAAGTTGAAATTTTCTTTTACATAAAAATTTACAAATGTAGGGTCAATTTACATTATAGACACGACAAAAATAAACAGAATGTCACATAACTGCGGACATTTATTTAGAGTGATAAGACCCTTCTTAGTCAAAACTGCAATGCTCTAACTATTTCCATTCGAAAGATAATCAATTTGAACTGTTTTGACTGTTTAACATTTAGCCCCAGTCTCCCCTAATGTTGAAATTTATTTTCAGATGATTAACTTAATTATTTATTCTTTACCAATAATATTCATCACGGAGAAAAATGGAAAAATGATTTATGCAGTCAGTGTAGTACTTCTTTATAGAATAATATGTGACAGGTACACACTATAGTATTAGAAGTTTAATAGCTGAACACTTTGGGACTCAACACAAGTTATCCAATTCATCAGCTTAAACAAGACTGTTTATATAGTCTAAGAGGGAATAAGAGTATAAAAAATTGGAATGAGAAATTACTTTCTCATGTAATTGTTAAAAAAACGTGGCAGTGTACAAAACACAAGTCAATAATAGAAGCGAATATTGAACAACTAGTACTCAGTCCAGTTCTTTAAAAAAATTAACGCCGTGCACATAAAGTAGATACCTACTCGAAAACCACAAGTTATTCTCTCTCTCTCACACTAATGGTCGTTCAGTTATCTTACCGTTTCACTTACTCTTACTACTCTCAACTATTATGCAGTGCAGTTAAGTTAATTAAATTATTAAATATTGCTTTGAGAATAAATAATTATACATTTCATTCAAGGTCAATTCACTATTTTGTACACGAAAAAAAAAAGAATAATCAAACTTACCATGAGGAGTGTTAAACTTGAAAAGGTTAAGAAAAAATTAATGTTTTTTTATTTATTTATTATTAAATTCTAATAACCGTATCAAATTTAAACTAGTTGACAATATTATTTATTCAATATTATCAATATTGTTGACATCCATACTTACATTAATTACAAAGTAAAATCCACGCATGATCTAATTTATTTCATTGGTAAGGGATGTTTCTTAAATAGGAAATTCCCCCCATCGATTGCGTAGCCGAGAGGCTTAATGTAAAAGCGTGCGATTTATAACTATGCGTAAATATTTAGTTGTATGGTTAGGTAGGTGTTCAATCCCGTATGATTGTAAAATTTTCCGATGCATTTAGTTGTTAATTGTAAGTATGAAGATGTAGGAAGAATAAAAGTTGTGAATTAATGAATATGAATATATAAAGAGTGCATTTAACATATTTTTCTTTTTTTTTAATAATTGGTTATTGTTTCTTTTATATAAAATTGACGAAGTGAATAAATGGAAACGCTCGTTTCGCGTCGCGTCGGCCATTTATTTTGACAGGTTCCGCGCCTGCGTTCCTTTATTGTGAAAATGAATTAATGTACTTTTACTAGACTGAGTCCTGTTTTTTCAATATTGACTCCCAGTTTTTCAAACTCCATTTTTCTCCGTGATTAAAATAAGATTAATTGATATTTAGTCGAAATTCCGTGCAGAAATTAAAATGTGGGCCTGATAGGGTACTGGACAGTTTTCCCGATCTCTGGTGTGGCTCTGGGTAGAGAAACTGACCAGTGCCCGACTAGTGTGTGACGCTGTTCCCGACCAATGCCCTACTTAGGGAAAAACTGGTCAGGGCCTCGTCAGTTTTTCTTAAAATTGCCCTATTTTGTGAGGCTAATTTTATTCAAAAGAAATTACAATAAAATTACTGTAATTAAAAATATTATTATATTAGAAACATAATGAACACAACATATTTATACATAACATAATGAGGTATTATAGTCATTTTGACTAATTTAAAAGTGAAAATGATAAAAATAATATAATTTCAAGAATAGAAAAACTTAAAAATTTTTGAAAAATATAATTTTTGGTTTTATGATTAATTCATTTTTCTTTTGGAGGTTGTCGCTCCTTTCTGCCTCCTTAATTTTATAATATTAATAAAGGTTATAATTTTTGTTTTCAAATGTATAAGTAATAATTAATATTTATTTAATAAATATTTTATTCAAATTTATTAATTATGTTTAAAAAATAGTTATTAAATATTGAAGGTGTTAAATTTAACAATCTCTCCGAATCATTTTCTCACTAATATAATATAAAATATAATATAATATATAATATAATATAAAATATAATATATAATATAAAATAGCTAATATAATATAAAATAATTTTTATTATTAAAATAATATAATATATATATATACAAACCAAATGATAAATTCATCCTATAAATTAATAATTATTAAAATTCATTAAGTATAATTAGTTAATAATTGTTTATTAATTATTATTTTTTAAATTCATAATTTTAATTTTTAAATAAATGTATAATCATTAATTATTTAATAACTATTATTATTCGTTATTTATAATTTAGTTGTTATTATTAATAAATAGACTTTATTATAATATTGTACTTAAAGGAAAAAAAATTATATGTATTTTCGTTTTTTAAATATATTACCATAATTATTTTATAAAGTGTTTTAAAAGAACACGATTTTTTAACTTAAATAACTGTATTAAAAAAGTTAATTTTAAAAAATTAAATTTATTTACATGCTTTTAAAACGAGGAAAACTGTCGAGGCCCTGATCAGAGCCATATTTCATATCTAGTGAACACCCCACTTAGGGTTTTGGCCAGAATTTCTGGTCAAACCCATAAGATAAAAAAATTCTTAAAAATGTAGTATAATTACTCCGTTAGATTAATTTCTTCAATTGTTTATAATTTTATTATGGGGACTAATTTAAAAAACTTAATTCATTTACACTTTATTCAAACGAGGAAAACTGTCGAGGCCCTGATCAGAGCCCTATTTAATATCTAGTGAACACCTCACTTGGGATTTTGGCCAGAAATTCTGGTCAAACCCACAAAATAAAAAAATTATTAAAACGATAGTATAATTACTCTCTTTATTTGTATTCTTCAATTGTTCATTATTTTTTATTAAAAGTAATTTTAGAGATTTAATTTTTTTACACTTTATTTAAACAAGGAAAA